CATGAAATTCTCATTTTCATTTTGCATTTTCATATCTGTTCAATGGGAAACGTTTCATTCTCGTATGGTGCGCACTAATTTTAATTTATGGAAATATGGTATGTTTTCAGGTGACACGCAAATCGAATTCCTTCAAAGCAACGCTATGGTTGTGTGACAATTATCCTTTGGATTTACAGGTGAACGCGTAGTCTGTTATGCAAAGTCTATCAAATGGCTTCATTCCATAGCCTCAAGCAGTGATAGTGAAAACATTTTAATGGGTGCCTTTAGACTTCATCAAGCTGATTGAACGGAAAATCATGTTGTATGTGAAACATTCTCAAAGTAAGATTACGTTTCAGGATCAGATACTGCCAATAATCGATCTGATGGCCGTCAACAACACGCATTTTGCTCGTCTAAAGAATTTCATCCAATTGCAACTTCCGGCTGGTTTCCCTGTCAAAATTGAAATCCCCTTGTTCCATGTGGTCAGCGCTCGTATCACATTTTCGAACATCAATAAACCGGGACCGTGTGTGAGTCCGGCTGAAGACGATCCGAATAAGGTAAGATATGATGGATATATCAAGTTTTCTTCTTCTTTTGGGGGAATTCCTTGAAAAGATGTGATGATCTCGAAGAAATGAGAAGAGTCAAGTGAACACTAGGAAAAGCGTTATTTTATCAAGTTATAAGGTAGTTGGCTATTGAACAATAACATATTTGAGGTGATTATCGATGAAAATGCATTCCAAGTTTGTGAATCGTATCGCTGTTTGAACGGTGATGAGTACTCGTTGGATCATAATGCGTCGGCAACATCAGCCGTTGCGAATGGACATTTACCATCGGCTAGACGATGTGAGTTTAGTGATTTACAGGAGTACGCATTGAACTTTTAGATTGCTGCGGTTGTGCTCGAACACGATCCTTTCACTCTTCGATAAAGTATTTCGGAACATGATCTTGTGTAATTTTCACAGTGCATTATTCTGATTTGAGCATATGTTTAGATGTACCTGAAGATGAGCTCTACTTACAATTTGCGCTAGAGCAAAGTATGCGTGAAGGGTTGATGGCATCTTACGGTAACAACACCAGCAACAACACCAACACATCTTCATCTAGCAATCCAACTTCTTTTAGCGGTAACGCTAGTAGTCAACAATTCTCGGGGCAGTCGTCGGCTTTCATCGATATCGACATGGACCCTGAGCTGGCGTTTGCGATCGCCGAGAGTTTGAGGACGTTGCAAGCTGAGAATGCTGCTGGTGCGACTGCTAGTGGGGCAGTTGCGCGTAATATAACTTATCCGAATCATGCACAAACCTTACTGGTGAGTTTCATTCGATTTGATGTGTTCAGGTTTTTTTTTGTTGTTTCTTTTGTTTACGATAGCACCCTGTCATTGAATTTGAACAAAATGAGAACAAGTTGCATGAGGAAATTCAATGAAAAAACTTTAATCGAAAAGAAGAGGTAAAATAAAAAGTGATTATTCATATTGGGATGGATATGCAGGAGGACGAATTATGTCGAGCGTTA